TTCTCAGGTGGTAGAGAAGTCAGATGCGCATGTTTAAGCGTTTATATTAGTACCTAGCGTTTGGTTTCATTTGTTGGTTGTACTAGGGGCGGGAATGTTTTTATTATTGAAGACTAGTCTTTTTTATTGATTTGCCTTTCTCGATTTTGAGCTCTGCTAGGCCAGACTCGACAATCGGGGCCGGAGAAAAAAAAGAAAAGGAAAGTTTTCATTCAGTTTATGAAGTTAGCTACTTTTGTAATACGAGGAATGCAGTCAAATTACGAGTGAACAAGCATAGGAACAGGCATACCCCAAAGAAATTCTCTTTACCGTGCCGGTTTGCGGGGTGAAATACATGTAATTAAATCTTGCCTCATGTAAAGTAGGTTCAAGTGCGACACACTTCCCTGTGAGGCCCTGGATAAAGTTAACCTAACCCCAGATGGAAGACTTGGCAACCGCTACACTCCCGCCAGTGGGAGGGATTCCCGGGTACGCGCTGGAGCCTGGGGCGTTGTTAGTCTTACTCTACTAGTACTATCCTGGAACCGGAAATATTAACAATAGGCTAAATCCAAAAGCTTGTCTGAGGTTTTCGATATTCGTATTCGGCGACATCATAGTCTCAATATATATACTGCTCTTAAGGGATACAAGAATCTCCGAAAGGTAAAGTAGAGTAGAGCTATATAGCTATCGCTGGGATGTATGAGTTAAAAGCTGAATTCGAAAGCTTGCCAATCTGAGATCGATATCCTTTACGTATTCTGTGGCATCTATTATAGTGCCGCGTTCCAGTCGACATCATGTATATACAGGGCAAATGTCATGTCAGCTGTACTCAATACATGGAAGGCACAGTTTACACATGTCATCCATCAGGCAGTTCGCATTCTCGATGACCACCCCAGGCTGCTGATCCAGCTAGATTAGACTAGATTCCCTGTCACCCTACCCCAGAGGTCTTCTCCTACTCTTCAGCATTAATTAACCCGACAACTTGGTCTGCTTATTTCATATAAAACCCCAGCTGTAGTATGAAGTACTACTAATCTATACAATCCGAGAGCGAGAATCGGGGACAGAGTGACCTGGGCATGCTAACGGCCTACCGGAAAAACAATCCGGCCAATCGTGGGGTAACTTCAAGTTAATAAATACACAGTGAGCCTTCATTAAGAGGAAAAATTGTTAGTAGTACAGAGGTTACAGTTAGGCTTGTTGGGGATGATCGAAAGAACAGCTGGGACCAATATAAAAGCAATATCTATTAACCTATCTTCGATGAAAACTAGTAAGTTTAGCGTACTTGAAATGATAAAAGAAGAAGACGGGGAGCTGGAAAAGGACGAAGTCATGGCTAACGAAGAGACAGAACGGCAAGCCCCCGTCAGGGCCGGGCTGCGCGATCGATCTACATATGAGCAGCTAGGCCACGACTATTTCAACAATAGCGAGTCACTTGTTTACCTTATCTTTATTATCAATCAACAAGAAGTACTTTGATCCAAGGTCACACTGCCTCGGCGTCTACTTTAGAGAGGGCAGCATTTTTTTCATTTGTCCCGCTCACAACGTAGGCCTGCAGCTGTGATCGTGATTGATGCCATACCTGCTATATTCCATTCAATGGTCAGGGCGCCAGGTGTAGGTTAGGTTTTAGCAAAACCTTTCGGTACATAAGTATTCTTTAATTTTATAGTACAGCAAAACCTATCATAATTCCACCCCCGCGATGGCCGAACTCTGCTGGAATTATCGGAGGGATGGAATCTGGAGAGAGGTATTTGTTGGCAAACCGCAGGTTTTGTTCCCTCCGAACGCTGGAAGTTTGATAGGGATGAAGTTTCGAGGGGGTGGAATTATGATAGGTTTCTCTGTATAGTAGATTGATCTTTCATCAAACTACGACCCTCTACAGGTATTATATGGTGACTACGTGGGTAGCATAGACAGCCGAAGAAGGAGAACTTGTAATTGACTTCACTAATCGAAGTCAAGAAATCAAGGTAGAAACTTTGAAGGCTCATTCATTATATTCCCGATAATCATGCAGAGTAATATATAGTCCCTTCAAACTTTGGCGGGATAAACCTCTAAGAAACAACTACATCTCTATATTTAGCTTTTAAAAGATATTTCTTTCTAAAGAGCCAATTGTATCAACCGACAATCATCGAGACCTCACTACGGTACACATAAAAAATCAACTCTACCTCGTTTCTCTATATCAATCTTTGAAGGCTCTCACTCCTAATAGTTTCTACAGACGTCCTCCGCCATCTCATTCTTACCATCCACCGGCATAGTAACTGTCCCCCAACTCCACTGCAGCAATATCTTCAACAAGTCGCAAAACAGGATCAGCGATACTATAGTCACCAAGATGCACCAAAGTATGGTGAACGCCAACATCCTGATCTCGTCCGAAAAGTTATGCATGGCCATTGAAATCTCAGCCGCGAGTTGGGTTAAGAGAGGATAGGTGTTGGTCGGTTCAGTTTTGAAGAAGTACTCGTAGTAGGAGGCCATTACTAACGCTTGTCTTGAGTTAATTTATGGCGTGTAAATATATACTAATAGCGTTCGTGCGGATATGTGATACGTCTTGTTGGCGTGGGGTGTGTGGTGGGGACAGATGGCAGGTATGGCTTCATACTTATACTGTAGGATTCAGTGAAGTATGGAGGGCTGCCCTAGGGTATGGTACACAATTATTGATACTTGATACTTGATAATATATCCTAATTATAACTAATAGCTTTCGGATTTCAAACGACGTGGGGAGTGTGAAGTCATGATCTATCACTCGATTCCACATCAGTGATGTTTTTTCAAGTCTATTCGGCAACAGGATATTAGGACAAAGCTTATACTCTTGTAAATCCCGTTCAAAGACCTCTCTGTCGGATATTCTCTCATTAAATCCTGTCGGCGGGTGGGTCTTCAAATATTATGGAGGCAACAAAGAGCTATTATACATTTCCTCCAACACTGCATGGCTTACGCCCAGAAAAGACACTTACATAACTAATACTGAGAATAAGCTCAAGACTCATGCCATGGTGTAGTATCAGGCTTCAGAATTATTTAGCACCAAAAGTTTCCAGGATATAACTGTCTCTTCTATCTCGCATATGGTTATCTGGTTCACAGAATCGTTGTGAATCCCGGTGATGTATTTCCTTTAGGTTATATCTAGCATTAATGGAATAGCATACTATGGAAGCATCTGGAATTGACGTATTTCAGAACACGTAAGCAGTAATTTCAATTCATTCTGTCCTCTAACCATACATAGTCACTCGGCAGTTCTAAACGAGTCTAATATTCTCCATGAAGATATCTCAACCACAAAACCTTTAGAAAGGCTCCATCATATCGCCGCGGTCTTTAAAACCTCCTCAAGTACCCTCCAAGTATTTTATCTCCTTCCTCTACGCCTAGTTCTCCTCTGCATGCTACTACCATATACAGGCATAGCAGCATCCCGCTCCCACGACTCCCACCCGAGCATCAATATACGTAACAAATCACCAAGCACGACCAGCGAGACTATAGCCAGGAGGAGAAACCAAAATACAGTGAACCCTATCACTATGATGAAGTCCACCGGACTAGAATAGATGGCGAACATTATTTTGGCTATAATCATGGTCAAGAGAGGGTAGCGTCGGGAGGCCGGTTCAGGCTCATAATAATAGTCAAAGTCGACGCCATAGTAAGGGTTCACATCCATTATCGCGCTAGTTCGTATTTATTCTACGGTGTAGATATTATTAATGTTGCCTTTGGTATGCGAGATGTTTGGTGAGGGTAAAGGTGGCGTTATGTTAGTAATTGATAATATTTAATTAACTCCAGTGTGTGTATGTATGTAGTATATATACTACGGGTTGGAATCAATAGTTATACACTTGATGCTTGATACTTGATAGCTCAGTTATTGTTTTTGGATTTCAAGTAAGATGTAAGCCTAGTCATGATCAATCACTCGATTTAGATTGGCCTACTTTCTGCTACTAAACACAGGGGATTAGGAGTATATGTATATCAATCAGTCTAATATACAGGCAAGCCGCTTTGCGGCTTATTTGTCTATTTGCCTGTCAGTTGGGGCTCTCAGGCCGCTGCGCGGCCCTCGACCCCTCCTGGCAGGCAAAGTCCATCACTATATCTAGATCTGATCTGGTCAATATGTGACTTTTCTGATATATTATCCCCATATATCAACGGATAAGTCAGACAATTTCTCCAGTTAAAACTACAGGTATATCCCTTTAACAGCTACCAAACCGCTAAAATCGAACCACTATCGATTCCCAGAACCAGTAGCAACCCTATTAACACTCTAACACCACTCAGCACAATATAATACCCTATGTTAATATCCAACACAACATGTTTCAAGTGAAACAAAAACATCTCTCAATGAACCAATCAGAAGACTATAAAAGCACATTGCATATGCAGGTTATAATTATATACTTATTAGATATTCAACTACGTCGTTTATGGTTCTATAGTTTAATCAGCAAATCTTTGGTTGTTCCTATCAGGCTTATACCCGTTGTTACCCTCGTGACGTATATGAAGGGGAACAAATTCAACATGCTATTAATTGCGCACAAAAGGATACATCAACTGATCGACTGGGGGGAAAGGCAAATTACTTAGACGGAAGATTAGACAACATCGTAACGAACATAGTTTTTATACTAGCGAAAGAATAATTTGAGTAGAAAAGAGGGAGACCTGCTCATTTTCTAATTCCCTGAATCCTCCCTGAGCCTTTGAGTGAGGATTTTTGATTGTTTTATTTTATTATTTTTGTTCATGCAAGCCATGAAATGTCGGGGTAATGTAGATACATGTAGTTCCGTTTATAGTATTTGACAGCCTTCTTCGTCCCTATCATTTCTGCGTCCATAATTTCCATCCTTTTTCCCAATCTGAATTCTGTTTTCCTCATCACCCTCCCGTCATTTCCTATTCTAATTATCTCCGACTAATTTAGGCTACGTTCTGTTGTTGGTTGCTGGTTCTAACCGATGCTCCGTGACTTCCCACTCCTGGCCTTGCTCCTTCATGTTCTCCTCCATAAGTGGGCAGTAGAACCACTCCATGGGGTCGTTCCACATGGTGAGGGCCGTCATGTCTTTGTCATTCTCAGCATTGTCCTTATTGTAGAGCTCAAGCTGTGTCTCCCGGCCGCGTTCCTGCCAGCGCTTCCTGTGCTTTTCGCTTTTCCAGGTTGTCCTTACCCACATACTCTTCAATGTTGGGTACTTTATCGAAGAAATCAACATAGAGCCATTGCCAAACCATGTAGCGAGATATGACGGGTGGGAGAATAAGTGTTGAATTTGGAAGGATATATAATATATCAAGGAAATCGTGTTCCAAAGAATCCATATGTTCGAGTGCAATCTTGCCCTGAGCAACTAGGAGACTACCTTCAACCGTGTTTAGCTGCTGGGCATCTCTTTCGTGCCTTTCCTCCGCGTACTTGCAGTTGCTCCATCTCTTTGCTTGACTTCCTCCATCTATTTATTTATTACTCATACTGCTTGCATCCAAACCCGGGTATGACTTTCTCTCTAGAGATACAGGTGATATGAACGTGTCTTTGTCGATTTCCGTTTATAGAATTCCTGGAATCTGGCTTTCCTCCGTCCCTCGATTGCTCGGGGCCGATAATCCAATTGTCGGTTGCCAGGAAGGAGGGGGGAGGGGGGGGGGGGGCGAATAGGGTGCACGTTAGTGCGTTTACTGAGTCTTCGTAAGCGTTGTTTTCTTTGACCTCGTTCAGAATTGGTAATTCTGGTGTATAATTATGAGTTGTGAGGATATATGTCGGATATTGAATGCGATGGTAGTGACGGGGAAAAGCAGAGGCCGTAAATGACACCTCCCGACAACTATATGAAAAATGCAGGCGAGGGATATTGATGCTTGATTCGAAGGTGGTGACGGAAGTGGATAAGATATCAGAGATCGAATGGCGAATTTAACGCCAGATCAGATTGGATGATTGATAATTCATTAATTGTTTGCAGCCCGGAGACCACACGGCAACAGCACCAAAAGTACCATCAACCAAATACGTACTGAGGATTTAATGCGAGGGTAGTGACGGATGGAAGGTTAATTGAATACGATGGTAGAGCATATGGTAGAATGCAGCAAGAGCTGCCCATAGGAGTGTGTATCCGGATAATGTCTTACAATCGGCTGGCAGAGGCTCGAGGCCGGGAAGGGCGTGCTTTATACCTTTCTTTTTCATTAAACCTTAGTAACATATGGTTGGGGACACCTAGAGACGGAAGGGTGCGACATTGGTCCCCAGTGAAGATCACCTTCCTAGTCTAGTAATTACTTAGCACCAAATCGCACCGAAAATGCCAAGACAGTAGATTTATGCCAAGATATTGGCCAGCATCAGTGGTCTATTCCCAATCGGGTAATTATGTACTAAAGTATTTCCTAATCGGGTAATTATTGGTGTGGAAGTGCGATATTTAGTCAGCCTCTCACCAAAAACCCAACTTTTAGAAACTCAATAGCTCAACAACCACAACAGATAAAATTAATTGGGCTCTGTTACAGTGTTATTTATCTCTTTCTCTATTACTCTACAGAGCCATTTTAATTTTAATGTGTTGTGGTGGCTGGCCATTAAGCCTCGAAGTTCGGCAACTTTGACACTCCGGCTCAAGGTGTCCCCAACCATACTCGTACGGAGTCGTTTGGAAAATTTACAAAATAGAGGATAGGTATACTAGACGCCCCACCTAGTTGCCTACCCCACCTTTTCTGGTTATCCGGGCCGCTGCAGGGGAGGCCGGAGGGGTGGCGTTGATCCCCCACATAATAGATCTAGAACACACCTACTCTACGTAGGTACATACTTGTATTTTAAGCTTTCCTGCATACGGAGATTGTTATCTGTCTAGATTTTCCCTGAGAATCTATCACCGCAGGTAGTTTCGTGCTTCTAGGGTTAGGTATGCTTTCGTAAGGCCATATTATCACCACTATTACAAAACTGCCACTACCATACGCTCACTACTACTGCTAGCCAATCCTCTATCCACTGCAGCATTAGCAACAAAAAGAAAGAACATACCTAACCCTGACTACTAGTCAAGTCGTCTATCAATCCTTGCAGAAAAGTTTCGTTTTCTCCTGGCGACGTCTGGCCACTTTTTGCAATGGAGGTGAGGGTAGCTGTCAGGACCGGGGTCGGGGATGTAATGCACACGGCTGCAGCTGTAACGCTGCCAGCATCGATCCCATGCTACTCCACATTCTAAGTAAGCTACATCTTATAGGTTATAGTTTACTTGATTATAATTGCTGATCTGGAGACGTAGCAGTGCCGATGGTGATCAGAACTCCTTTCTTGATATCGATTCGATTCGATCCTCGATTCGAGTTTCATGGATTCGAAAGAAGCAGTCTACCGCAAGATTTGGAGCGTAAAGCCCGGGCGTTAGAGAAGATCCTGGTATGTAAAAAGCACCGATTATTGCTCGAACTGTGGCGAATCCTTCAGTTTTTGGTGAGAGAAACTTACTAGGATCTTATTTAACACCCGGGTGCAACACTCCAACTTTTACGGTACATATGTCTATCTTCTTGACATACCAAATGCGTACGATCAAGACTGGGCCTGTATGGGGGGCGTCCCTCGCCTCTACAGTTCTATCGATTCCTCAGCTATCTTAGCCTTGTTTTCATATCCTCTACATGGGCCAGGCTCGAGTACCTTGATCGATTGCAGGCCCAAGCTTTCCACCCGTTTCGCTTAAATAAGCTCGGCTAAAGTGGGTGGAGGGGCGGGTTGACCACTCTAAATGGCATTAGGTGTCACCACACCTTAAGCATCTCGATGTATGTAACACTGCACTGCACGGGTGGGCTTTGAGTAACTTAAGATATCACTTAAGATATCACAAAAGTATATGCGTGCACATGATATTATAGAGACGGTAGGCGTCCTAGGCGTTCTAGAATATCAGGAGACTATCATAAGTACGACTGGTATTATATTACAGATGCAGGGATAATAGCTATCTACAGTATTGGAGTACTCTAGAAGATTGGAGGACGCCGGGACGCTCGCTGGGAGGTATATGCACTGAATTTCTGGAGCCTTAACGTCTGGCAAGGATATTTCAAAACCAGTAACTTTACCACCGCCCTAAAAAAAGTATGAATCTTGAAGAGGACGCACAGTTAGTAAATAGGTGATTAGACGCCTTCCCGGGCCATTCGAACACCCCCCTCACTCGAACAGTTGATGCTTATTGGTGGAGAAGCCCAATTCAAGAGGTACAGAAACCGGTTACAGCGCAGATATTTTCTTTTTTAAGTTAACTGTTCGAGTGAGGGGGGTGTTCGAGTGGCCCGGGAAGGCGTCTATGGGCTAATGAAAAATCTAGGATCAATCAGCGAGCACCAAAGTATTCTCATGAGTTTCTGGGTTCAATATAGAGGTATATTGTGCTATATGCATGCACCCACTCGATCCTGGGAGCAAATATAAGATTTTGCGTTTCCAGAGTTTACGCATAGCCTTAGGGAACAGGCATATGATTTTAATTTCTAAAGCTTAGGCATAGCTTAATTAGAACGGCAGTTAAATTTTGGCTCTTGTGAATTAAGTGGTTTTACTCATGATAACGCTAAAGTTCAAATCCAACGATTTCGGTGGGGCGATCTCACCTAGCTATGGTAGGCATCCGCAGGGATATATTGTGCCCGGCGTACCGCCTCAATCTTCGTACTCGGGCTCTATGGATCATGTCAGAGCACCATTCTCCTCAGATTCTGTGTGGCCTTGGTTTTTCGATTTCAATAATTGAATGAAACATTGTTGTTCATTTCAAGGATTGGGTTTGAAACTCTAGATTCTACTATTTTTAAAGACACTACTAATACAATTAAGATACTTCCAATGATTAGGTTTACACTATGGAATACTATTCTACGTTCTCAACTTCATAAAGAGAAATACGATATTATGAAGCAGGCCACTCACAAACATTAGGGGGAAAAGAGGAAAATAACTTTACTGATGACGACCGCCTAAGCGTCCACGTTTCCAAAGCTTTATACTATCACCAAATAGATCTGGATGTTTCTGTTTCTATTTCTCGAACCACGTGGTTTCGATAATTATATTCTTTCAAACGAAGCCCGACCAGTCCCAGGAGAACTCAACTGACGTATCAGACACCTCCTACCTCTTATATACATCGTGGCTTAGCAGATAAAGCGTTCATCCGGACTTTCGTTGCTCACAAATTAGCACACAGATATGCAGGTCCACCGTGTATTCTTTATACCGCACAAGGATGCATATGGACCAAAATGAAAAGAAGAAAAAAATCTACACCGAACCACTCCGAGTACCTCAGGATACTAATTCGAGAAAACTCTTTTAGCTTGTTTCATGTTGGGATAACCCAACGAATAATGATGTCGTTCTAATGGGGGCTAATCAATTGCAAGGGAGTTTCGCCGAAATCAGCCTTGTCCATGATGAAATATCCACTTAGAAGCACACGTGCGCACAGAGCAGTCTGCCTCGACTAAAATATATACATTCAAATCAATTGGCCCATCCTACCAATGTCGACCGAGATCACGGAGCTATCAGATGATCGGACTTAGAATTAAAAGGAACATATTACTAACTAGCTACGGGCTATGTACTTAGGGCACACGAACTTACTTTTTGAAAGTATATCATGTATAACGTCGGATACCTTCCGAGTTGCTAGGCAGAAAAAGGCCGCTCCGGCTACGGCTCCCGAGGTGGAATAAATTTAAGTTTGTTCTTGAAAGCACATAAGTTTCGGCATTCCTTCCAACCCCGGCCTCCTCCGCCTAGACTGATCATGATCCATGAGAAATTCTGCATGGAAGAAACGGCTAAAAGCGGGAACACGTAGTTCAGCATACACTATACTCTAGAAGGTTTCGAATTTGAGGTAGTCGTCGTCTCATCACTGTCTAACTGTGTGTTTGGCCTAGCGCTGTTCCGGGCTATGCCTGTATGGAGTAATGTCTCTGACAACTCTCTCTTTATGGTCTTTCAACCATTCGTCAGTAACATCTTGGAGGAGCACCTAGCTATGTAGTTGGGTACCAACAGATTTTTACTCTGCGGAGTTTTCTTTATACACGTACCACTTCAGTGTGGGCGAACATTTTGCTTATTCCATGGTTACGCGTCCACTGGGCGCCGAGATCTGGAGGTGCTGTAGAGTATATACATCTTCCTCTAGTTGTCTAGAGTACATGGAAGCAAAGTGGCTCGCTGCACTAAAAGATGCAACGAACCTTTCCCCACGTCGCCGGCGGGGATATCGGTGATACTGCGCGGTGTTCATGTAATGCGGGGGTGCGTGCAGCGGTAGCCCGGTCACGTGAGTGCACTGGATTTAAACACCAAACATTATTGCAGTACTTGCAGGAGTGATGCTAATATTTATGGCTTGTAGGTTTGATGGAGGTCAGATGGTCATATAGTAATTACACTTTCACCACCGGTCATCAAGACCGGAGAACAACTTCTGTTTCGATCTCACCCATGGAACAAGCCACGAGAAGCACTTCACAGCCTGATTTTGCCCAAGTTAATATTATAATGACTCTGGCTCTCCCAGATCATGACTGATATAAAATTATACTTCTATCCAATTAAGCGCTAGCTAGCTGGTCAGACTACTACTTACGAGTTTCCAGTACAGTAATGCGTCAATAAGCGACACTATGTTACCGCCGGCCGCGTTAAACTAATGTAATGAAGGTTTACTCTGTGCCTTAGGGTATGTTCTCAGTAAGTGCCTTAATTACTCCAGAGCACTAGAAAGGAGACGCATGTACGCGCTGACTTTATATCTATTTCGCAACTAAAGCTCACGCGAAACAGCAATTAAACCTTAATGGTAATGATATGAGCGTTGCCTACGGACCAATCAAAGCCCAGATCCTAGCTTTGCTCAGCTGAGACAACAACCAATCACAGTGCAACCTCGAATATATATGTCGACGAGTGGCTACAACGACTGTAGTTGAAATTAACTTTCAGTCGATCAGGCACCTGTGGTAGGGTAATGAGCGCGCGAGCGAGCGAGCGAGTGAGAAGCGAGGAGTGACTCCCCACCGCAAGCAGGGCAAACAAACACTTCCATGAGGAGGGGGGCGGGGGGGAGACCAGCGCCTACCACCCACGCGCAGCACCGTACTTGAAGCCCATCTCATCATCTCGCCTCACATCAGTTTCGCGGGGCGTGGGGTGCTGTTTTATGCTCCGGCAAATACAGCTTGACCATCCAAGCATTTCTTTTGCTTTGCTGCACAGCCACCGTGCAGCGCCCGCCATCCTGCCCTGTTTCAGAGGACGAGCCCGATTTTCTATGTAAATCTACATTCCAGTACCATGGTACTGTGGGCGCCACGCTGCAGGTACCATCGGTTTAATCAGATGAGGTGTGGGGGAGTGATTGTGGGGCGGGGTGGGGTTGGCGGTGTGCAGTGCGGTGCGCGCTACGGGGCCAATTGGTCCATATTGGTCCATATTGGGGTAAATGGTCAATGATCATACCGCAGTTTTTTTAGTGTGTCGAATTAGAACTGTATACATATTAAACTTGCTATGACGGCAGAATCTGAGAGAGCAAGAGCAAAAAAAAACTCCCAACGCCTGTAAAATACACAAATGAACAATGAGTGTGCCAACTCCGTAATGGGGCCAAGGCCACAAAATAGAAAAGAGTAAAAAAATCAATACAGAGAATAGGAAAAGATCCGGGAAAAAAGGTGCATCAAGAGTGTCCTAAAACGACACGAAAAAAAATTTGAAAGCAAGAAAGCGGACACAAGGAAATCCATGAAAAACCACCCCCTTCTCTCCGCGCACCATATCTATGCCCGCTGCGTCCGATCTAGCCTCTTATCCACCGCGCCCATAACCGCCTTCAATATACCATCCGCACTCAGCCCCTTGCCCTCATTCATCTTCCTCCAACTAATCGTATCCACCATATCCCTCACGCCCTCCTCCTCCACAAGCTCATTATCCAACTCCTCCAGGCTCTCCGTCGCCGCCTCATCATTCCCCACCTGAAAGAACTGCACGCCCACCTGTCTATCCCTCGCGCCAAGCGCATCCAGGCTCTTCGCACAGTCCACAATGCACCTCTTCAGCTTCCCAGGGTCCGTCGGCTCCCCATCCGTAATCACAATGATATTCAACGGCTTGATCCCCGCGTTCCTTCTATACGCCGCCAAATACAGCTCCAGGATCTCGCCGAGCCGCCGTCCCGTGGGTGTCGCGCCGCAGGGGCGCACGCTGCTGAAGATGGAGAGCACCTCGGCGGGCGAACGCACTTGTGTGTGTGCGCGCGGGTGGTTGAGGAAGTAGATGTCGACGCCGTCGGCGTCGTGGGCCGTGCAGATTGGGACGATGGCTTCGAGGGCAGAGGAGGTCTGCCGCCAGTTGGGGCCGAGCATGGACCACTGTCGTCGATGAGGAAGACGGTGTCGAAGTTGCGGAGGGCGCTGTAGTGGTCGACGCCCACGGTTGCGTTGGCGCGGAAGGAGAAGCGGCGGGTGACGGGTTCGATGGTGGGGGAGGTGGCTATGTGTGGGTGGTAGGGGTTTGTATGGGGTTGTGGGGGGTAGGGGTAGGGGTGGTTTTCGGGCATGGGGGTGAATTGGTTGTAGGGTGCGGCGGGGGGGATGATGCCGGCGTAGGCGGGGGGTGGGCCGTCGGGGATGGTGGTGATGTGGGACGTGGGGGATTGGGCGTGGGGCTGCTTGTCGGACATGAGTTGTCCTGGCGCATCTAGGCTGCGGGCGGTGGTCTTTTCATTGTGACGCTGAGACTTCTTCCCGGAGGAGCCGAAGCAGAAAAAACGGCCGATTCCCATTGTGGTTGTGGTTGAAGATGTAAATGTAAATGTAGCTGTTTTGTTTGGTTGCTACGAATATAATGGCGGGGAAAGAAGATGCAGGCTTCTGTTTGGCGCGCTTAATTGCGGGGGGGGGGGGGGTTGAGGTTCTGTAGTTTTTGTTTTGTTTTAAGTCGGTCGCTGCAGTCGTTGCTATGCGTTCGATTCGAGCAGGGAGGAAGGAGAAGGAGAAGGAGAAGGAGGAGGAGTACAAGTCGCAGACCTTGAATTGTATGAAGCCAGAGACCTGTCTGTACTATGCTATACTCTATCGTAGAGTAATTAAATAGGGGCTAGTAGTAGCGTAATTGTAAATTGTTGTTCTGTGTCTAATTGCCAGACCAAAATCGATGTGCGAGAATCCGGTAAATGTCGGTTCTCCTCTTCGCAACTTATACCTCCCCTAACTCTCTCCTCAGCTCCTCTCCTCCACCCCCCTCTCGTGCCACCCACACTACTCCTACAACACAATTTCTCTCCCCCCCCAACATGATGCACCCATCGCACCCTTGAGATGCTGCCTTTCTGCCGGGCGCACACACCCGTGTGGGAGTTGATCACCGCGCACGTCCTTAGTCATCGGTCCCTCCATATGTGGACGCCGGCACTGCATGCATGTTCCAGATCGGAACAAAGAAAGGAAGCCTGCTAGCTAAACATGATCGACCTATGTAAGTAGTCCAGGAACGCTCAGTTACGTCTATTCCCAACACCGCCAGTCACTGAGCAACGTCAGTATCTACAGTTGCAAGTGCAAGGCACGCTTCCTGTGGTTCGGGATTTTAATTTTTAAAACGGTCTTGACAACATCAAAGTACGATTCCTATTAACGCTAGCATACAGAGAGGTACTTCCTCCATACCTGCCAACAATATGACTCCTCCTCCTCACCCGCGGAATGTAGGTTTTGGATTGAAACGGCAACGTCTGTTTGCACATGTTCTACATTACAGCTCATGGTTTCTGTTTCTACAGCTGTTCTCGGCCAGCATTGACATCAGTCCAGACTTGCAATGACACTGCCTCCGCTCCCTCCCCCTCCCCCCCCCCTCTCTCTCTTTCTCAGCACAATTGAGCATTGCGAAACTCTCCCAGTGACCACTTCTCCTACCCTGCCTCAACGCATATTCGAACGCTATGAACGGCTTTGTTCTCCCCAACGTCTTTTGCTGCGTACTGGCGTCCTACCAAGACCTCATGGCCACCCTTTGAGCTTTGACCCTCAATCAAAAACCCCCACACCGAACATTTTCACAAAGCTTCATTCAAGCTAGTCCTCAGTCAATCTCTCCATCACTGCCTCCACGCCCCCAAAAAGGCGTATAAAGGACCCACTTCTGCGGCCCTGGGATTGTCACTCCTCCACTATGAGTTAGTCGACAGAATCATCCTCACGTTTCTACGCCCCATGAGTACCAATATTCCAGCAGGATCCTCACAAGGCAGGCTGGCCGGCTAGGAACGGAGGGCCCCCATGACTTCACCGTGCATGTTCACCGTTTTTTTCTCTGTTCTGCACGGGGGCTCTGGGGCTTTAGCTATGCAGGTGGATCTCACCCACGTGAGTACCAAGATTTCGATCCGTCATCAGGGATGAGAGCAGTGGGGATGCCTATCTGCCTAGTGGATAGTTCTCTAGAATTGTGCCTGCATAGATAGATCGATGACTCGCATGGCTATGCCTGGGTGCGGCACAGGCAGCTGATGCATAACTTAACTCATAATTATTGCTCACAAAATTCAGTTCAGTGCATATACTTACTGCATTAGATTTTTTTCTATTGTGGCTTAGAAGAAAAAGTTTATATTACCAATTTGCCATATTATATGTGGAAATGGCGAATTTCGAACTTTATTAGTCTGTGGGTTATGTAACATAGGCTAGTGTTATATATGCCCAGTGGCGTTATTAACTCCCCCGTATTGGTAATATATATTAATATCATTGGCCGAGTGGAACAATTATACTAATGTGGTAATTATTTTGGCCCATCTAGTAGCTGACCGGCCTTAAGAGGGACCGAACCCGCCTTTCTGGATTGCCCCCCCTTTGCCTCAATTGAAAAATTTTCTTGTTGGTGGAGTTAACGACGTATATACGTTAAGGATATACATATGATAAACAGGAGATCAACCGAGGCAGAATAGTAGATGCGTATAATCAACGTTCCACTGTTATAATGAAAGCGTATGTCAATACCAACGCCTCACGCCTCAATTGTTCACCGTTAATCACTCCACGGCTACAGCCCCATTCCAAACTCCCACAGAGCAAGGAATTCGGTGATGAGAGCCTTTGCGTAAAGGTAACCTATGACATTGGTGCGATCCTCCCTATAAGACTAGCCAATCAATGTGGGCTTCTTGGTCCGTGCCCACTGCAGAAATTCCTTTAAGGGCCAATAGGACGGAAAACCCACTTTCGCAATAATTCTACCAGACTCTGTATATGAATTTAGATGTGGTACTGCTTACAGAGCCACTAAGAATATACTAGTGGGAACCAGATAATTCTAGCCACAGTTACAGGGGTATGTATGTTACAGGGATATTGCAAAATAGTATGCCTTACCACTGGACACTGGACACAGTGTCTCACTCGCGCGGCCAAGCCACATCATTGTAAGTATTACATACACATACGTATACTTGGATACCTATATTCAGAACCTTTGGGATCGCTCTCGGTCGGTGATGATCACTATGAGTCTATGACGTGCGGCCGGCCCCGCCGAGAAAAATCCTTGATCCTACCGCGGCCGGCAAGCCGGCATGTAGCAGACCAGGCAAACCCAACCTTTTTGTAGAACCGGTTGCGATGTCGATGAAGAATTAATCCCGGCCCCGGCCAATTACCGATGGTATGGTATTCGGCTTCTGATTGGTCCTTCATGCATATACATATATTCTGCGGTGTTTGGGGCTTGAATCGCTGTGGGGGGGTGGCTAGGATTCCTGAGTACGTGAGGCTAAATGTATGTGTCGCGAGACTATTGCATTATTATCAATTGTGGCCAGTTCACACACAATGACCATGTTGCCTATAAACCACACCACCAGCTGAACGTTCGAACGTCATTCAAGGCCAATTGCAAGGCCAATACTCAGATTACCTTACCACTTTTTTGCTTCGCCAAAAGTATCATGATTCATTAAGTTAACTGAAAAGTTGGCTATAGCATGCTTCTGCTGTGTGCAAGTATTACATGTTAGTTGAACCCTAACCCTACAATCCTATCACAAGGAATTATCTTTATACGAGTCTATTGATTTCTGTATTCGTGCTTGTCAACAAGCCTTGTTACATTTTGGCAGAGCCAGCCGTATTCTGGGCTATAATTTGGTCATGAGATGAACTTATCGACGTTAAATCAGGCCAATTATCGTAAAAATCGATAACTAAATGGATAGTTGAAATGGGATTTATAGCCTGGTCCGGAGGCCGAATTAAGTGAGGCAAATCAGTATATTCAGTTAACCCTTCATGACAGTTAATCTCTCGAGTAAATAAACTATTGGCTTCATCGCCAGGCTTATGCCAAGTCCAAGTCAAAACCCCAGAGTAAAAAGTAATGAATTTTCATGGCCCGTTAATTCCGTAGCCATCCGCAGGAGAAGACTAAGCCAACGATCCGGACCAGATCAATTGACCCGAGGCCAGCAGTAACCTGGTCCATTGAGCCACTAGGATGTTTCTCAACAATTGCCCAGCTTGGGTTTGAAGACCTCAAAACAAACAATATGCGCTACCTTTAGTGCAACTGCTAAACACCCGGTGATAATACACTTTCTTTGACGGTCCAATGTTCTGGCGCGACGTTATGCCACTATATTTGAAACCTTTCCAGAACATAGCCACGTTCGGAGTGATCTCTGGGGAGATGCTTCATCTAATTTTCAATGTGTGTATTGGGCCTTAACTGCCTTGAAGACGCAGGTACGTACTACTACATGTAAGTATCTAACACCTCAATATTCATTGTAGCTCAGAAAGCCAGCGCAGATATAGCAATTAGTTATGAATGCCGATTCCTATCAATCCAGAACATTCGATGTTTCTTTTTCGTCTACTGCTGCATTGAGTTGGACATTGAGTCGAATATGCTTGGACAGACGAGGCCCAGAGAGTACAACTCAGTTAAGATGGGATATACCATTCAGAATGCCTTGTTCACTGAGGCTGAGTACCCACGATCCGTGATAATGTTGTAGACGAAGGCTGAAGCCTTGTGTGACTGGGTGCACGTGCACCTTCTTAATGGACCAATAGTAAAAGGATACTCATTCGGGCCTTAATTTGGATCGAAGGGGGTATGTCTATGGTTTTGATCTGAGGAGGTTATTTTCCAGAAATTTCAGCGACACGTATATCCAGTTGGCGGGAGCCTATATGGTGATCCATGGGCACTCTAAATTTCTGCCTACCATGTATAACTTGTCGACGAGTTTAGGTATTCCCAGTCAAGATATCAGGAGCTCAAACAGCACCCCGGCCTCCCAGGTGATGAATTCTTCGTGGGGTAAGGAAGCCCCTTGGTATCACCCTTGCTGTGGTACCCCTTAATTCTTGAATTCTCAGGTGACCTGGACGACCCGAATGTGAACTTCGATCCTCGTTCAAGCCTGTGACTAGCTATTCGAACAAAGGTAACCCCCGCACTGCAGAAACCGCAGTTGGTATTTGGTGTAGGCAGATTACAAAGGCATTAAGTATAGGCTAAGCTGTATTCCACGGTGCACAATGCTCTTTTGTTTTTCTTGATTGAGTGACGTGGGACAAAAATGTTGCCATTGTTGGTGTAAATATGTTCCATGCTAGTGGGACTCGGTTGGCCTGTGAGCTTTTTCACTTAAATGGTGTAATTGAACAACACTAGAAAACGTACACTTCAGTGCTTTAATTGTTATCTAGTAGGTACATGTGCTTGTCATCGATATTAGCGCGTGTGTACGTATGTATTCCAAGAGCGTAAGTGCTG